GTGTGTGTGTGTGTGTGTGTGTGTGTGTGTGTGTGTGTGTGTGTGTGTGTGTGTCCAGTATGGAGGGACGCAGTACGGCCTTGTGGTCTTCAACACCGTGGACTGTGCTCCTGAGTCTTACGTCCAGTGCCACGCCCCCACAAGCTCCGCCTTCGAGTTTGTTTCATGGATCGACAGCATCCAGTAACTTCTCTTTTACAGAGTTGTTCATTTTGTCTTCATGTTGCCTCTGTCATTAATCTGTTTGTTTGTTTGTTTGTTTGTTTGTTTGTTTGTTTGTTTGCAGGTTTATGGGAGGCGGAGCAGAAAGCTGCAGTCTGATTGCAGAGGGACTTTCTGTGGCTCTGCAGCTCTTTGACGACTTTATAAAGATGAGGGAACAAATGTAAGGAAGAGTTTAAGTTCTTTATTGTAAATGACAAGATGTTCAGGAAAAATATGTTTATGTTTTGGCTCGTCTGTGTGTTCTGGACTGTTAGCAAAATATCTCATCAGCTACTGGATGGATTTTAGGGAAGCGATCAGAAATTAATCACTGGCTGAACATCTGCAGCTGATGTGAGTCAAGGTCCAAAACGGTGGGCCGGGTCCTCCAAAGGACCCGCCATAGGTGCATGTTTATTTCGTGGTTTTTTTTTTCTGACACAAATATTTAAAAACACATCTATACAAATGACAAAAGTATTAACAACACAACAGCTTGAAAATTACATTTTTTTATACCGCCAGATTTTTATTTAAAACATATTCTTTTCTGTCGCTTCGTCCACCATTACTAGCACATCTCCGGTTGGGTCGCAATGCATTATGGGATATAGTGGGCCGAGAAGGATCCATCAGACCAGTCCTTCAATTCAGGCCAAATAAAGGACACATTTGTCTGTCGCATCAGAGGAGTCAAAGGTTTTGGACGGCCTCCGTCGCGTCGCTGTTGCAGAGGCACAAAATATCGCAACAAAAAAAAAAAAATCCACGTGCATTTAGGATCTGATCCATTTTGTCTTAATAAAAAGACTTACATAATCAGGAGCGTTTACCTGTGTCGAGGTGATCGATATAAAATATCTGGTGCTGCAGAGCTCGTATTCTACGACGAGCCAAATGAAAGCTTTCAAAAGCCTCGAAGCTACAATTATTTAGTTTCAGTTTGGGTCAAATATTTAGGATCTAAAGAAGCTTTGAATATCTGTCGACTTGTTTCTGACCGGGTGAGCAGTGACTTTTGCTGTTTGAAGTCATTAGAATATGATAACAATGCTATCGCTAATGGTAACAATGAGTTAACCCCTGTTATTTCTTTGTGCTTGGATCTACTTGTAAATAATTTATTTAGCTTCTGTAAACGCAAATTTGAGCAACTGCCAATAAAATATTTTAAATATTATTTAAACGTTACGATCCTGACCTGTCGCTGCAAACTCTTCCGTTTCCACTCCTCCTGTTTTTTGCCGTAGATTGTTGATCCACTTTTGTCATCTTTTTTTTCTGACACACTGCATTCGGAACACGAAAAAAAACTTTAATATTTCTCCCGATTAGAGCAGTTCTAACAACCGTACACGGCACAGAGTTTAGGCATTTTGAAGCTGGATCAACAGAAGGAAACGGGGCTGTGTTTACTTCCTGCCCCCGTCTGCTTTTCATGACGTCGCTACGTCATCAGCAACCCCTCAAGGAATGCCTTTAATTCCTTCTAAACCAAATATCACAAATAAATGCTGATAATATTAATCTAGTGTCTCTCCTTGTGTCTTTATTGTGTCTGATTGCAGAGGTCAGACACACAAGGTGTGTGTGCTGCTGTGTAATTCTCCTCCGTACCTGCTACCTGCAGTGGAGAGCGTCACCTACACCGGCCTCACTGCAGACAGCCTGGTCAAATTCATCAGAGACGTGAGTTTTAACCTGCAGTTTTAGTCTAAAATACAGCATTTCAGATCATTATTTTCATTTCTAGTTCCACCATTTTTATTTCACTTCTTTATTTTTGTAGAGAGGAATTCACTTCTCTGTCATCGCTCCTCGGAAACTGCCCGCTCTGAGAGCTTTGTTTGAAATGGGCTCTCCGGTGACGGGGGCGGTTGAACCACATCCAGACTACAGCCAGGATCCGTTCCACATGGTTCTGGTCAGGGGCATCTCTCTACCTGGTGAGAAAACATCCTTTTAAAGGGGACAAATCTGCAAAATCTGTGTTTTTAGCTGTTAAAAACATTTTGTTGTGGACTTGGCGTTTCTAGGAGGCAGAAAAGTTGAGTTTAGTCTGTCCTGGTGCTGCAGAGATCTCTTTATTCTGTTTGGGTCAGATTTTACAGCCCGTTCAGTTTTCTCTGTTTTCTATAACGTTTTCTGAACTGTTACATCAAATTATCTGCAACAAAATTACCAAATAAGGTTTGGACTTACTGACTACATATTCCTCGTCCAAATTCTCCTCTGGTTCTGGGTCAGACTGTGGTTCTGGGTCAGACTGTGGTTCTGGGTCAGACTCTGGCTCCAACATGTAAGGCTGGATGGACAAGTCTTCTGTTGACGTCTTTTAATTTAATTGTAAAAAAAAAAATGTTTCTGCAAACTCGAAAACTTAAAGGCTCCTGCATACTCCCTCCGAAGCTGAGAACAGTCGATGCACGGTCACGTGGTCGTTTGTTTTCGCACACACTTTTCATAGTCTCTGAGACACCCCGCGCCGAGCTCCTGGGGAAACCCCTCCCGCTGCAGCATACGRCACTACAGGGGGCTTTCTCCTGCTGGAGTCTGTGGTGCGGGAAAGAAAAGTCTGAGACCCATCACCGACATTATTTATCCGCAAATCTGTCCCGGTTAAAGCTCCAAAGTTTTTATCAGACAGATTCCACTGTGCAAAATGCCTGTTTTATCTCCATCCATGGCTGTTMGACTYTCTTTTATAAATCGCTGCTTCTGGGTACAACAGTCGGCTCATGAAGCGAATCGCTTTTTTTTTTTTTTTAAGTGATTGGTTGAAGCAAAACGCAGCATCTGAGCACTTACAGCACAAACACTCCCATGAACTTCTGCTCAATCACACCGTAAAGTTCGTATGTGCTCAAATGTGGACGGGGGTGAAAAGTTCGACCCGCGGGTTGTGTCAGAAGCTGCCGAAATATTGACAATGCGAACAGAATGACGCAATTTTCGTCATGAAACTGCGACAATCTAAATCCATTTTGGCAGTTCGGAGGGAGTATGCAGGAACCCTCTCTCTCAAACCAGAGTGGACCGGTCTGGAAGCAGGAGGGGGGCGGAGCTTGACGCGTCTTAAAGGAACAGTAACAGAATGAGCTGCTTTGAGACACACAGCAGAGAAGAGGCGAAAGAGGAGCTGGTAAAGTTAGAATAAGGAGGAATTCAGACCAAAGCTTTGTAGTTCCACTTTATAAAGACCCAACTGAAGGATTTAAATSTGAAAWTGAAAGATTTAAAATCATGAAATATCCACTTTAAGCAGCTAATATTTCACAGGACATTACCCAACATGAATAAATTCAGGTTTATTTTTGTTTATCTCTTTTTAAGAATCTGTTCATATGTGAGTTTTTTCATGCAGCACCTGATTTCTTAGAAGAGTTTTTATTTTTAACTTAATTCTGGACGTTTTCCTMTTGTTAAAACTTAGTTGTGAGACTCTGTTTGTTGATTTTCACACCTTAATTAATTTTTCACAGCTCTTCTGTTAATTAATTTTTTGGATAATTTGAGCAGCTTCAGCTAAAGATGTGATCAGGAGTGAGGAATAAACAAGCTTTTATCACTTTTCGCAGCCCAAACTTTGTTTGTTTTTTAGTTTCCACAGGTGGAGGGCCTGGACCACTCAAACCTGTCCTCCCACTTCAAGCGCTGCCTGGAAACCAGTCTGTTGCTGGACCCCCTCAAGTCACCCCGCCCATTAACCCTGCCCACCCYTATCAGGTAATGGGCAAGCAGCCACCGGCGTTCAGCTCCCTGGAGGCTAGCTCCTGCCGCCTGCTTTTGGCTCGGGCTCAGAACGTTGCCTTTGTGTTTACCCCCACTCTGTCTTCTTTTCATCTGCTTCCTGGCAGAACACGCCGCCCATGAGCGCTGCTTTTGTGGCTGCGCAGATGGCTGTGGAGGCAGCCAATAACCAGAAGAATCGCTGTAAGTTAACAATGGAGTGTTTTTAAGAACAACTCGTTTTCACTCACTTGTTGTTGCGTGTGTCTGGTTGTTCACTCTCAGTTGTTTTTTTTTTGTTTGTTTGTTTGTTTTGGCAGAGACACAGTTAACATTTACCCTGATGTTTTAACTTTTCTGAATTTATCAAACCTATCCTTGTAGTGTTTATGTTTCTGTTGACTTTTTTGTTCAGTCCCAGGAATGGTCACTCCAGGTCAGCCGTTTTCATCTCAGCCAGGCATCCCTCCAGTCCAGATGAAGCCCCCCCAGCCCAGCATATCAACGGTCACCACAGCAACACAGCCGCCAATGATGCAACAACCAGTTCCTCCCAATCCTCAGCAGCCCGTCCCGCCCCCGGGACAACCCGCCTCCAATCAGCCGACCCAACCACAGCCTCCACAGCCTGCACCAAATCAGCCCACAGCACCTTCAGCGCCGTCGAACATGGTGAGTTATCGTCACGTCCCGGTGGTCCTCGCTCTGGACTGGGCTTCTTGGGAGACCATTCTTGTCAGAACCAAGCTTGAGACCCAACAGGACTCTGTAGAGACTCAAGCAGAACTTCTGTAAGATGAGAGCAGAAGGAAAACTGAGACGAGACTTGAGGAAAGACGAAAACTGAGGGAGGAGCAAAGCTACGTGTTAGGACTTTATGATGACAGATTAGGACAGTTTTATGACTTGGTTCTGGAATGGGACCATGTTTAAATGAACTGACCAAAAATATTAATGATCTTTCTAAAAAATACCACAAAGTATTTTAACTTAAAAGAAACCAAAAGTGTGAACTTTGAAATCTATTTTCTAATCCTTTCATCCACTCAAACGTTAGTAATACTTCAGTACAACTACTCATTATTGTAACTACTTTATTGGATGAACATGATTTTAATAGTAAAACCACATGTAAAAATTAGCATAACATTCGTTTCCACCTTCAACTGCTGGAAAAAAGAAGTTAAATGACTAGGCCTGTCACGATAACAAATTTTGCTGGGCGATTAATTGTCTCAGAAATTATTCCGATAAACGATAATATTGCCTGGTGACCATTTTACAACTAATAATTATAAAAGCATAATATGTAAGTGTAATAAATCAATAAACTTTAATTTTTAAAAGGATGTTTAACAAAGTGGACTCTCAGTCTCTAAAAAAATGCACTTGAATAAAAAAAACAACAAAGAACAACAAAATGTAAATTAAACACCACACACAACTAAGACAGTAAATAAACCATATTAAAGAGCAGCATGTCTTTAGAGATGAAGCAAACTACACAGCCTGGTGAGGACCCACTGTTTCTTATGGGGACATAAGCCCAGTTCACATCCCATGTAAAGTTTAGGCTAGGTTTAGGGTCAAATGGTAACAGAAAATACTGGTAAATGAATGAAAGTCAATGCAAAGTCCCCATGAGGATAGAAGAACAAACGAGTCTATGTGTGTTTGTGTGAGGAGGAGACAGTCAGAGCGCTGCGGGGGAGGAAATCAGACAGTTCAGAGTTTTCCTCATGAGTTGTTGGGACAGCTACAGGTTTTTTTGGGGTTTTGTTAAAACACAGATGTTGCGTTTAAGTTTCCTGTTATTTTTGGGAGCTACAGGTAAAGTCTTGACGAATTTGTCGTGGGTCTGGGGGAGTTTCAGCCCCCACCCCTTCTCCTCCTCTCTCTCTCTCTGTGTCTCCCCGCAGCGAATTTCAGGCTCTGCAATTGCTCCGACACTGCAGCAGCTGCGTTCTGCTTTAAATGTTTCTTTAGTTTGTTATTGCTACGAGCTCTCATGCTAAAGCCAGAGTTGACTCCTCCCACACTAAGAAAACAGGAGGGGAGGGGTCAGCTGAGCTCCTGTGTAGCAGAGCACAAAGAGGGAGAGAGACGAAGTAAACAAACAAGCAGGAAAATGAAACTTATCGTCCTCATTTTTTTACCGACCTCAAAATAACTTATCGTGCAATTAATTGATTTATTGACTATCGCGACAGGCCAATAAATGACACATCAATGATCGAACAATCACATTTAAAATCATGTCATTTTAAGAATAATTGTTTTCATCAGTGGGTTTAGGACCATGATAATGGGGTCAAAGGTGAGAGTGGAACGCCCTCTGATCGTTGGAAAATGTGTCACATTGATCCAGGCGGTCCGTGCTCACCTCTTTCAAATACAAAACGTGGCGTTTATCACCTGAGAAGAACTGATCTTCTGAGAAAAAGAAAAAAATGTAATTCAGCTGATTTTTTTTTATTATTTATAAACATAAAGCTGCAGAGCTGAACTACCTCCTTTTTGGTTTGTGTTAATTATTAAARTGGAACAACAGCAAATTAACGAGGACGTCTCATTTCTGCACTTTGTTGCTGTTGCTTTTTATTGTCGTTACAAAGCCTTTTTATGTTTACCTGTTATCTCAGCAGGTCTCACAGGAACAGAGAAGATTTGTCTGAGTTTAACTTCCCTGTGTAAAAAAGAGGAGAACAAAAATAAAACAGAATAATTGTTTATTATTTCAAACATAAGAAGTCTTTAATTTGCGATGCAGCAGCTGCAGCCTTCAGCTGTTTGTAAGCTAACGTGCTGAAGTCTTATATCAGAATGAATTTTAAATGTGAGTTCTGCTGTCTCATCAAAACCAGACGATGTTCCTTTTTCTCCAGCAGATCATGGTGACACTGAGGTGTTTTTCCCCCTAATTTAAATAAATCAAATAAGACATGTTTGACAAAATTTTACTTTAATCCTCTCTGCAGATCTGTTTCTGTTAAGGTTTTATTCTGTTGGAGTGTGTTTTTCTCTGGAACAGAAAAGTGCATATTCTTTGTAGTTTAGTTTAGTTTGGTTGCTAATGATACTTACAGTTTACAGTATCCATAACCTGTTTAATTCTCCTCACAGGGTGGAGTTCCCGGACCTCCGGGCAACGCTAATTTAATCGCACAACCTCAACCAAACAAGGTGGTGGCGTGGACCGGCGTTCTGGAGTGGCAAGAGGTAAGGCAGGACAAAACAATCAGAGCTGAACATCTACTGAAATTAACCGAGGAAGAAACTGAGCTGTGAAAGCTAATAAAAGCTAAAAGAACCAGAACATTAGCTGAATGCTCAAAGGAGCTAAACACTAGCTAAAAATTATAAAAGCTAAAATAGTAGAAAGTAATTTAGAGCTAAAAGAAAACAAAAGTTGGATGATTTTTGCAAAACGGTAGCAAAGGCTGGCAAAAAAGTAAATGCAGCAAATGCTAGATAAAAGGTAAATCATATCTTAATATTTAAGAAACCTTTCATAATACACAATATTTTACCCCTTTTATCACATAACTGGCTTACTTTCTTCAGAACCTGACTAGGTAAAAGTGAAACAGGAAGTGACATCAAAGGGGAACTCTTTCAGAAGGAGAACGTCTGAGTCTTTGTTTATTGAAACAATATAATTTGAACTCTGACACTTCTTCATCTGTCTGGAAGTGACTTTAAATAATCTGTTCACATTTAGACATTCCCCTTTCTCATCACTTCCTGTCACTTCACATGCAGGTTTCCCAACAACTGTTCAGCTCAAATGCGTGAAATTTTATTTGCAATATTTTATTAATGTTATCTTTCCAAAAATGC